AAACCCCGTTATGTGTTCAAAAACAATTTGTCCTTACACTTAACCTACCCTGGTAATACCGATTTATTATCCAGAGTGGTAATCACATTTGTTTTTGTGTACTTTAATATTATTTTTTCTTCTTTGTTATGACTTACTCTTAACCTGTCTAGTTGACCTTTTAATTTTTATATATACATGTTCTTAACAAGTATATGTGTGATTAGATTGTTCGAAATGTACTGCGCAAATATATCACATAATTCTGATAAACTTCGTTTTCTCATTGCATTATCGAAATTTATGTATAATCTTCAAAGGGAATTCTATAAGTCTTTGATTAGAAATCACATGAGATGTGGATATTGTTAAGGAAACTCGAATTCAGTCTAAATGACTTTCTGATTCTCTTCGTATAGTGTTGGTTTTCCACATGATGTCATTCCACAATGAAATACATCTTTAAATATAAGCAAGTACTTGAAATCCTTATTAAGTGTTCCATTATTCCTTTTTTCTGATATTTATCCAATGTGGACATGATGATAATAGTTTTTAATACAGATCTATGGATTTATTATGGAGAAAATAGTTTTTTCCATTATAAAATACTTTTCAGTATTAGTTTATATTATCATGCGTATATAGTAGAAGTGTAAGTATCACTTACCGGATTTGTCATATCTAAGTTTTTTTGGTTGAGACAATATGATGACGTAAATTTTAATGGGTTCTTTGTTATGAAATAGTTTAAGACTGTAAGCATTCATCAGTTAATGAATCATTTATCATTTCACACTGATGAGCATAAATGATATTAAGGTTTCTTATATTAAACGCTTATTGATGCAGAAAGCAGGATGATCGAAAAGAAATATTTTGTACGCCTATTTTTCAATTCGTTTTTTCATTTTACTTCCTTTCTTCAGTGTCAAACGATGGATATTCAATATAAATTCAGTGAAGTTCGAATATTGTTTGAACTGTCATTACACGGTGGATTGTATTAAAATATCGAAATGATGGGATATTATTAGTCTTATATAATATCGATGATCTCTTACTTATGGTGAGTGCAACAAAGAAGAATGAATATAAATAAAATTAGAAGAAGCAGACATGAAGTCCTCAAATTGTTCCTTGAGTTAAAACAATTACTTACAGTTTAAACTTATCATATAATTTTGTAAGCTTAGGTTAAAGATAATATTGTAACTTATTACTGAAAGTGTTATACAATTTTAGCATAATCTGATTTCTACTCGAACATTCACTCATTTGGTATTTTGAATTTTTAAATTGTGATTTCTACTATGTCACAACTGTAAAAAGTTCAATCCTGAATAATTTTATTTTCGAAACACTCAAACCAAGTTCATATTGTTAGACTTTTACAAAATTCTAACAGTCATTCATCAACCGACAGCAATATTGAGAAAGAAACTGACCTATAAAAGTTTCCTAACAGCAGGAGATTTTCGTTAATAGTGAATAAAAGTATACATATTTATTTTTTTTTAATTTACAAAATTTTATATTGATTCTTATTTATTCCCTTTACTGTGGAAAGCAAAACTAATTCATATATCAGAAAACAGGCCAAATCTGTCCATTTAATATATATATGCATGAACTTCTTTTTTAACCAAATCAGAATGTTTCCTACCCTAATCAATGACATAATTCGTTTATGTCACTGGACCGTTGATATTCAAGACCATGTTTACTATTTATTATCACGTGATTTAACCCAGTGTTAAATACATGAATATGGGGTACATGTAAATTGATTGCATTATTTATTTGTTCTATCATTATGTAGCACTTTTTTGATTGTGTTACAGTCGACAAGTATGATAATGGGAACGTCACATGACTTAGAACACTTTTGATAACAAATAATGAACATTTCTTTATAATTACTGCTTTACTGGGACAAAACATAATTGATTTAATGACTAACGAAACTAAACTTCATTTATTAATGAAATTCACATACTGAAAGTTTTTGTATAATTTTAATATACAACTTTTCCTTTCATTTCTCACGAGTTTTTTTAAAGTACATAATACTAAGTTTTATCTAAAAATGCATGCTTGAAAAAGTATAAATTAATCCATTTTTCCTAAGTAAATAGTAATAAATTGACATAAACTGAAAAACTACTGAAAACTGGATAAAACTAGATAGACGTTTTGTCGTATGCTGGGACTTCTTGACAGTCTATATCGACACCCTGACCAAATATTCAGCCAAGGATCTACAGGTTCGACACTGTCAGCGTCACCATTTGGCCGGTCAAAATGATTCCAGGTGTTTAGATTTCCATATTCAATCAAATGTGATACAGTAATTTAGAATTTGGTTGCATTTGGAGTGTTGAATATGGGCTGGTTGTAAGTTCAAAAGTTGCACCAAATAGTTGTCCGAAACATCCTGTTTTTTCAGTAGTTTCCTGACTGAAGTCAATCTGTCATGTGACCTGTCAGTAGAAGGGCTGAAATTCATCTGCAAACTCTGACTATCTATAGTAACATCTGTTACGATAAGGTGATCTTAATTAAAAAATTTTGCATATATTTGAAAAGGTAAAAGCGAAGACGAGTTTGTCGTTTGCTTGTTCTCTCAAAACATTTAGGAAATAAAAAAAATTTATAAAATCATTACGAGGTCAAATTCAAGGCGTTCAGATATTTATGTGCCTAAAATAATTTTAAATCGCTGGATCGAAGTCTTATAAACTGCTTTTTCGGCTTCAATCTTTTTATGACATAGGACGATTGTTTTTGAAAAACATCTCTAAAGTGATGTAATTAAGAATGAATATATATCACACGTTAAAACGTATTCATTTAGACAACAAAGCTAATGAACACAGCATCCTTTCACATTCTTTCTGAAAAGTTTCTAAATATCAATAAAGACTCTACAAACTGATAAAATCGTCAACTTTTTTTCAAATCAGGATACGAGACCACCATGGTGATCTAGCTTCAATTGACTCATGATTTCAACTAGTGAAATATTCATTTCTATAATTTGCTTAACGAATGCTTAATGATTAATTCTCGCGGTGAAAAATATGTAAGATATAGACTTAAAAGCTAGAAAATCCACCGACGTTTTGCATGATTATGAAATAAGATGATACTATACATATGGTGTGTACTGGCATGTATTAATTTAGATACATTTACTTAGATTTATCCCATAGTAATCAACTTATGTGGAATCCAATTACTTTAAAAAGTTTAATCATAATACTATAAAGTATACCTATTTTCAAAATATGTAAAAACTGTCGTTTAGCATATTCATTAAATTAGTTAACAATAGTTAAGCTAATGACATCTTTGCTTGCATTTTAAATATACGCATTGAATTATGCAGATCACTTTGCAATTACAACCTAACGGGAATTACTTTATTCGAACGTTTTATAGTAACATATTTTTGTTGCATAGGTATAACCATAGAATGATCTTAGTTTAAAAATCATTGGAAACCAGGAAGCACTGAAGAACTGCTTGGTTTTCAAATAGAACTCCTAAGCCGTGCTCATAAACGACCCTTCAGTCTTGCACGTGATCACCTAACCATCCGAACACCGACCCGGTGCTTAAATGACCTTACATGTTTAACTCCAATCAATTTCTAATATCACCGAATATCTTCAAGTGTACCTAGTCTCTCCACAAATTCCTTATAGTAATTAATCATGGCTAAACTCCGTGACCAATCAAGTTCAACAATGCTGACTGAAGTAGTTGCCCACCAGGTACATTGGAAGATAGTCAGGAATATTGCAAAATGACTAGTTAAACATGTAGACCGTTGGACGCAAACCCAGTAGTCTAGAGGTTAGGTGGATGTGTATGAGACTAGAGGCCTTGGCTTAAATCCTTGGTATCAGGGTCGTTGACACTCACCATTGAGTCGCATACGAAGAGGAAGAAGCTGTTCAGTGCTTTCTGTTTTCGATGGTTGCTTAACTAAGGTTATTCTATGATGTCAACTAATAAATTTATAAAATCCACATAAACCCTTATAGTAATCTTTTATTTTCAAAAATATTTACGTACACTATGTTCATACATTACTTCGAATAGCTACCACTCTAAAACTTACTGAATGATAAAAATAGTGTCCAGTTTGCCTTGTATATCAACTGGTTTTGGATTAGTTATTAAAATGATATTTATATCAAAGGAGATATGGGAATAGAATCCAACTCACTGCTCAATAGTTTTTCGGATAGTATTATGTATTACAAAAAACCATCTCGTATGATAATTAATATATTTTTGTTAGATCCCAGTGAGTAGAAAAATTGTATTTCTGACGTTTCGTTACCTAATATAATCCACTTCTTCAGAGTAAATAAATAACCGACATTAAATTAACACAAGTTTAAATAGTACCATATTTATTATTAACTCTCTACCCAATGCTCAATTTATTTGAAACTATCAAGTCCAATCTTGGTATGGATATCTATAATCTCGTATGGTTTAGTTGACGATCAGAACGTTGGTAGTATGAACTGAATGACATGAAGTGGTGACATTGTAAAGCACAACAGTAGATAGATACTCGTCAGTGGTTTATTACAAGTGCTCTTTTAATTTCTATAAATTGTCTATATAATTTTTAAGAAAGTAATATACACAAATGATAAACCTTCATGAATTCACTTGAGTTTAAGAGAAAATCAGTGTTATAGCATAAAATACAACAATACATTATTTCCACACAAAAACTAACGGTGACTAGAATATTCAGAATTTGTTTTTGATATTAGATTTTCTTGTAGTCAGGTTTAGCCATTTCGAAGTAATGGTCAACTGTTTAATTTATTTTCTCGCGCGTAGTTAGTAAGGGAAACTCCACCTACTTCAACGGTATATCTCATTTCCAAATACGTGAGAAATTGAATGATTATTTACATAACCTAACAAAAGGTTGTTGAAATAAATTTATTAAAATGTAAATAATAAGTTGGTAAGCAAACAGTACTTACCGCTGATTGTGATAATTATGAATGTGTTAAATATATGAAATGTCAAAACAAGATAATTTAAAAATTGTGTACGAGGAAATGACAAAGTGATTTTTGAGTTTTATCACTGTGCACTTTGGTAAGTAAACGAACTCTTAGAAGTCAGTTAAGCAAATGAGAATTGTACTCCTTCATCACATAAAATTCAGTGATTTATGCTAAACATCATAATAGTGAGTGAGAAATTGTTAAATGTTATCAAATTAGTTAATTTTGCATTTATTTGAGGTATCGAAGTTTTACTGTTAGTATTTGATTGTAGTGGACAAGTAAAGACATTTGTATGCACAGGTATATACAGATTTACATAATAATGTTAGTGCATATACATACATAAACGCTCAAGCATACGTAACGCACAACTACATAAGAGTATTGGGTAGACTTGTCTGTAATATAGATGTTACGTTTTATTCGTCTATTGGTTTGATGTTTCTCTGTATTTTAAATTCAAAGAAATTCTGCCTAAACGTTTTATTGGTTCATTTAATTCTGGTCTGTTTTCATCACTAAGCCTTGTCACAGGCATGTTATATGACCTAATGTCCTAACCAATCCCAGGTAACTCTAGATGAGTTGGGCATTAAATTAATTAATTTAATGACCAGGTCATTCATTCGGTATAAAAAAAGAGTATATGGAAATTAGCGATAAATAATGACCATCAAATTGAGGTAATCGAATAGACTTAATCTTGCTGACCTTATGGTGAAGTTGAGATATAGTCACTGTCATGGTAAATGTCTAATTCTTGTTGTTGAAATTTGACTACAAATTAGGTTTTCTTTTACATATCACTGCAATCAAATCAAAATAATTAGTAGGCGGAAAATAATTGCAGTATTTCTTCTAATTTGTTAGTTTACATTTAGAGTTATTGTAAATAGCCTTTTGAGTGTTCTAATAGAAACAGAAAATAATGTAGGAGTGTAGGATGATTTTTTAATACCTTTATTTTCTAAGTATACGAAAAATCTACTTTGTTATAGTGCTCTTTGAGTCTAATTAGAAAATATAAACTTTAGTCAGTATCACTGGTGTACTATATGCGATTATAAGAAGTTATCTGAATTTAGTAGCTAAGTGGATAATTCCATGGCGTTTAATGAATATAGTACCGAGTTCGAGTAAATATCAATTCTAGGATGCAGGTACATCTACCTAACGAGTCTCGGTCGAAACACTCATCCTGAATTCCTCTGCTAGCGAACATCCATTTCTGCTTATAATGCTCATAACTTAGAGCAATATCGAGGCAATGTTCATACGATGTTCATAATGTCAAAACAGACTGATAAATCGCAGTTCTATATGTCAATGGAAAGATTTGAACAACTATTACAAACGAAGGATAGTAAAATTTATATAAATGAAGTACATTGAAAACATTGAAGTAATATAGAAAATGATGACAATCTACAGTTCAAATGTAAAATCTGAAATAAGTGCTATTTAAAAAAAATTGGGTAATAAATAACCGTATTCTCTATAAATTGTGTCATGGTAAGTGGACGGCTATATGTAATTCCTGAATTAGGGTGCTCTTATTTTTATTGTAAATGTCATATTAGTTTTTATCAAACAAACAATAATTAGATATGTTAGACTTGTGATGAATAGATGATGTTATTGTAGTGGCTAATTTCCCCTATATCTGACTCCAATAAATAGTATCCCATTAAATGAATATTTAATGCAGGCTAAATCTCCTAGTAGGATTATGGACTTACTCGAGATTATTCAAAAGCCTGAACACCAGTTATAGAGATAGTTTATTGTTAAAGATAGGTATAATCCGCAAGTGTACAGGAATCAAGCATACAGGGAAACCAAGAGTATGTGTATGTGTGTGGGAGTGTTGAACATCCATATATATTTATGAGTGTTAATCAAGTATGGGTAAATTATTGATTATCTGTGTATTACAACCAATGGGAGAATAGATTGAAAAATGATGTGCAGACATGTGCTCATTCATACACAGAGATTTACATAGTGGATTAAGTGTTTAAATTACAACGAGCAGATAAATAGTACAGTAGTTGAATGGGCTTACTACATTAGAAAGTGTCATCTTTGGGACGAGAATCCAAACATTTTCTCAATAGCTCTTGATTTCATTTTTAATATCATATACTCTGATATTTCTATTAAGTGACGAAGAATATTTCAAATTAAACGTTATGTTTTTACTTAACTAACATTGAGTTTACGAATTACAGATAAGTAATAAATATTACTGACCACAGCACACCTTTTTTACACCCTTTAAAACTTACATCCTCACTTCCCTCATGAAGCAGTAATCAATCGAAGATAAACAAAATCTATTGAGTGATAGCCCGCTATCGGCTTTCATCTCATGTTTTCTTTTAGAAAACTTAACTGTATCCGTAATGAACAATAATAAGATATGCCAGTTATGTTTAACTTGATTTATTTCAGCTTTTACTAACTCACGAATCTTTCAGATGAAAACAGATTGACAAGGATCGTTGAATGGAACTGCTAAAAAATACATTTTCTGAATAATTTTTCCCATTCAGGTCCAATCGATGTGTCTTATACTAAATAATATATTTATTTGATACATCCTCGAATGTCAAATCCAGATAAAAACGTCAGCTAAGTGGAAATTAAGATAGCTAGTGTTGCGAGCTAGTGAATTCGTTTTCAATTAGAACTCATTTAAGTGCTAAGACCTGGATGATATTTCGCTAATCAGGGCTGAAACCTTCCTCAGCATTATTTACCACCAGTTAGATATTGAAATGATTTCTACCTTATTTTAAAACCACGTATATTCAGTTAACCATATCAGCTTGTGCTTAATGTTTTTTATCATCATAATCTGAGTGACCTGTAATTTCTGATGATCATTTATAAAATAACGTTTGACAGGAGATAATCAGTATGCATGAAAATGACAATTACGTCTAGTTACTGGAGAAAGACGACGATTAACAACCCTTTTGTATTTCTAAGTTTTTCATCCCTATTTAACTACTCATGTAATGTAATGATCGATATTGTTTTATTGACCACGTGATTTTCATTGTTCTTTATTTACGGTTCTAAAGGTCATTATCACTTAAGCAATAAACTTATTTAGCTATATCGGTCTGTTCTTATATATGTATCCATCCTTAAGCTTTATCACTGGTATGACTGATTTATGACTTAACTGAGTACAGTGAATTAAAATTTCTAATTCGCCATCTGTTCATTACAAATAGTGGTTTCGGCATGCTTAGATTTATGATTGACTGTAATGTTAAACAATGCTTTTCCAAGTAGCTGTCAATATATTTTATACTAAACAATTTCAGCAGAGGCGATTTACTTATAAATTTACTACTGTTATGTCATTTAAAGCTGAGTTAACTCGCTTAATTTTGTCAGTTACTCCTGAATGTTGATTTATCATTATGTTATATATTCAGTTGTTCATATTGAATGAAAACATTTAAATGTAATATAAAAGTATTCCTTCATCGTTTAGAATATAATATTTTTCAATACAAAAAGTAATAACAATTATTAATCTGAAATTTCACACACATAGTTCCCTTTATCATTTTGAAGAGATCAGTAACAAAGATTTGAGCAGGTCAACATGAATTCATTAATCTGAAATTATAAGTAAATAGATCAGACATTACTTCCACACAATTAAGCAAATGTAATTAGTGTAATAATATAAATGTTATTAGTGCTAATTGGAATAGAGACTAGCTGAATAGTAAGTTAACCTAAGATTCCGGTGTTTTCAGTTGTGTTTATACATTGACCTTAATATTTCATAAACTCTAAATTGAATTCGTTCTGTTTCTTACCTGTCTATCAGATTATCTACAGTTCTTGTATATTCGTAATCAGCCTACTTTTAAACATTAAAATAATTTCGCCTCAACAATGTTTATCAAATAAATTCTTTCCGACACGAAACTCTTACAATTAATAGATTTTCATAGTTTCAGTTGCGAGTGTAGATAGCGTATTGTTGCGGTGACGTTTGATTATGTAAAAACCCATCGATTAGATAGGGGTTCGTTTATATTAAAAAATGATGACAATTTTATTGCATCTGTGCCTGTCCTTTACACTAGATTCCTGTGTATAATAAACTATCTAGATATGTGTACAGTTATTCAATGCACATAGGTATTTTAGAGCTCGGTTACGTTTCCGAAAATCACATATTTCTCTTGATACTGTTTCGGTAGAACATCAGATTAAGATCGATGAATTAAAATACAATAACTTTGTATACATACAAATGATGACGAAAGAATTTCACGTCTTAAGGAAGTAAATGAATCAAGCTTATACAGAATTTTTTATCAGTGGAATATATATCGTTCTTCTTTTATCGCTAGAAGGGTTTATTTATCGTCTTAAATCCATCTAACAAATGAATTTATGACTTCTCCTCTTGCTTAAAATTATTTGTATTCCAAAAAGGCAATTGTTGATTTTATTACCAAAAGTCGAGTAACTGTCAATAAAATGTCTTTAATATTATGTTACCACCCTACTCTGATTAGACTTCTATTGTATGGCATTTTGTGTGCTAATCCATAAAAGCTATTTAATTGATTTGCTGGTCACTGTAGCAAAGATCATCGTAAGTCAAGAAAGCTATCTAACAATTTATTTGCTTTAATATTTTTACAATCAAAAGGAATATAACACGATTTTAGAGTCAATAATCGCAATAAAATCGTGTCTTGTATTTATCAATATCTCAGCATTGATGAAACATCAAAATAACTTGAAGTGGTAGTTTCCAAACATTATAAAATAACTTACTTCCAGTGGTCAGCACTTGGAGACTAACGGGAACATTTTATAACTACTGTTATTAGTATCTATTTTTACAAATTTTATATTTCTATAGCTCTACTAAGGATGTTAAACATGTCTCATAATCGTAACTATACATATCTATAAAAAAGATTCATGATAAAAGTGGACAGACTAGCATTCAAAACAGTTAATTCATGAAACCTGTGGTTAAAGGTGCTCGTTTAAACAGAGTTAGGATGCATACATCAATGTCATTTGTTATTGTGAATATGGAAATGATGTATTTCATAAAGTGTCAAGCTGTTGAAAACAAATAAATGATATTTTTGTTTGTAGTACTTACAAGTAATTCTTTATATAAGATTTTCTCTGAAATATTATCACCAATAAAATTCATTAAGAAAACAAAACCGATATTAGTGAGCAAA